TTTTGGGTCCTCCACATAGTGGTCTTAGCTAAACCATAGCCTTAGGGCTAGTAGGTTTAGGGGGACCATCTACATGAGTATCCCAAAAGATCAAGGGATCTAGGTTAGAAATTTGAGTTTAGAGTTGTGAGTGATTGTATGTGCAGATTAGTGTAGTGAGTGTCTTAGCTCCAGAACAACACCCAAGGTCAACCCTAAGGTCCAACAATCCTAAGGGTGACTCGTCTTGAGTTTCCCCATAGTGATCACACCTACTAAGTGCTAGAGGTTAGGACCAATATGTAGAGCTTCAATTTGAGTAAAGAAAAGTTTAGAGTTTCTAATAATGATGGTTCCTTTTCTAGTTTTCTAAGAAGAATAGTCAATAGGAAAGTCCTATGGCTAGACCTTAGGCTACTAAAGAGGAAAAACTAAACCTCAACCAAAAGTGAGGTCAACATCCCCTTTCTAGAGTTTAATTTTTGAGCTTAAAACCTTACCAGAGATAGGACAAAGCTCTCCACACTTCTACACTCCACCAAAATAAAATTAAACTCACCCACACCATCACCAAAGTGAAAGAAAAAGAAGCCCCATCAAATTTCCCTCATACAGAGCCCCTAGCATAACTCTAGACCAACACCTGAAATCAAGCTTAGTCGAATTCATTCCTAGACCCTTCACCACTATAAGAGGATTAATCCCTAACCTCCTTGGACCTCCATGAACGTACCGCGCACCTCTGATTGAAGCTTACCTTCTCAAAGCAAAGGTATTGAACTCCCCCTCTTATCAAGTTTGTTTTAATCCTCCATTTGATTATAGCTAATTTTAATGACATGATTACCATATGGATGTGTTTGTCACACCTAAACGAGCATTTAGAAACAAACCGCACTTAATTTGGTTAAGAATAGAGTGAGAGCATAAGCTTTGAAAATTAATGGTTCTGAGGCTAAGGCATTGGGGACGATGATGGGGAGCCATCCGATCATGCGTTTATCTAATCAACAGACGGGATCTAGCCAGTCAACGCCTTCTTACATGAAACGTGGGCTGAGTCAGCGATGAGGTGGATGGCGGCTCCGAACCAGAGGACTCCACGTGGAGCTTCAGAGACGCCTAAGATGAGGTGGCACCGCGCATTTAAAAAGATAAATAGGGAATTAAATAAATCAGAAAATGATCCCTAACTTTAAAAATTCCTATCTTGGTGTAGAAAAATTACTAAAAAAAAATAAAAATACCCTCTTCCTCATTGAACAGAGGAGAACAATGTGGAAATTGTTTGAAGTTCATATGATGCAATTTTTTCTTAATTAATTAATTACTATTTTTAGTCTTTTGATTCTTCATGCATGTAGACATTTCACTATGGCTTGATATTTTGGCATGTTACTGCATCTGTCATGGGGGGACATTCTCTGATTTCTTCAAAGTCAGAGAAGGTCTCTAGACAGACTCAAAGTCAGAGGAGATCTCTAGACAGAAATCCATATTTTTCAAGTTTATGTATATTATTTACATAAATTAATCATAATAATTAGCATGTTACTTAAAAATTCCAAGAAAATTTTGGAAGATTTGCTATGACCAGAGAACCCTTTGGAAAATGTTTCATGAGCAAGGTCATTAAGAATCACCTAATTTGCACAAAACCCTAAAACACAAAGAAAATTAATTTGAGAAATGCAAATATCTAAATGACTTGGTTTTTAATCACCACTGTAATTTGAAGTTGATTTAAAGTTCAGAGAACTCCCCATAAAATTTCAAAACATTTGGAGCTCATTTGATAACTCAAATTGATTTTATAAGTTAAGTGTCATTTTTAACCCTAAAATGATTTTTGATAATTAAAATATAACTCAAAAAATTATTAAAATTAGTTTTTGCAGTTCTCTGTGATTAGATGAGATTTCTAAAAAATAAAATGGTAATTAAAATAAAAACTTCATTTTTAGCCTATTTTTAATATTTAAATAATTAAAAAAATGATAAAAAAGTCTCAAAAATAATAAAATTCATGAAAATGTTCTAAATTTTTTCCTAAGCACTTAAGAATAATTGGAGTATTTTTCCTAATTTTCTAAGTGAAGGTATTGAATTTTGAAGCTTAAATTAATTTTTAAAGGCTAAAAATGGATTTTCACTAAAATAATTCCAACAATTCAAAGAAAAGTCAAAAAAAGTAAAATTTGTTTCTGTGGGTTTCTTGACTTTAGGGAGATTTAATAAAAATATAAAACTTAAAATTCCACATTTAAAACATTTTATAATTAATAAATGCTCCAAAATTTAAAATAATTCCTATAATTCAAATAAAACTCAATAAATCATGAAATTTCGTCTCAATGATTCTCTAGTCTAAATCTACCTCTAGTAAAAATTTCAAGGGATTAGGCTTTACCTTGGTCGAGTTAAAGAATTCTCTTGAAAAAATCTTATTCCTTGCATATAAATAAATATGAAAAAATCCTATTTTTGCATGAAAATAATTATATAAAGAAATTAAAATTTGAAAAATAACATTTTCTCCTCTGATTTTTTAATTGACCCATGAGAGAGGTTAGATGAAAATTCGAAAGTCATTTGGATTGAATTTGACAAATTATGAGGTGTTAGAGCCTTAGGGG